ATAATAAATCACTCCTTTCACACCAAAAAACTATTAAAGTGAAATGATTTGGTATTTCATTGGTGTTTATATAATAAATAGAACATTACATGGCCGCTTGGAGATACGAAATTTCTCTTCTCGGGTTGAAAAAATATTTCAACACGCGAAGAGAAATTTCATATCTCCGCGCGACCATGTAATACCCTCTATATAAAGTATTCAGTACATAAATAACGTTTTAGATCGTAAGTTATAGAGGTCATTACACTCTACGCCCACACGAATGTAATTAATCTATTAGAGCACTATTACCGATCGCAACTAATCAAGTAACGAACACTTCTTTATTACGTCACAATAAGAGATCATTAATGGATTAATGAACCCAATGTAAAGACCCCTGATGAAGGCAGAAGCCGAAACGCGTTGGGACTGAATAAAGTTTTTACTTGTTGGAAGACGATTCTCTTTTGTGCAAATTATATATATATATATATATATATATATATATATATATATAGTATATTATATCATATTATTTATTTCTACCTGGAGTTTTGAAAACCGGGTTGCCTGAAATCTTAAGTCAAGTCCAGCACATTGCAGGCAATCTTTCAAAACTTAATTTGCTTAAAGCCCTGATACTTTTAGTGTAAAAATAACAATCTCGCTCTTCAGGACTAACCTCCCTCACCTCTTAACCATGGGCTTCAAATAACATCCTGGAAGTGACAGAAATCAGTGCAAATTCCAGAAAATTTGCACGAGGGGGGCAACAGTCCGTCCCGTAGGGACGGGCTGTTGCCCCCGTTGGCCCAGATAATATTTTTTGAGGGGGGCTTCCGTCAAACTAAGTGTCATGTTGTTGCACAGACACAGGGCTATCATCTGGTATGCATTTGGGGTAGCCTGGTTAAATTCCAGGGGGGTGGGGTTGTTGTAAAGACTATGCTTTGTGCTAGAGTGCAGATTCGCTGGGTTTTTGTACCTGGGCTTACCCCTGTCTTTCAAAGCTCAATGTCTCCCTCAAATTAAGGGGGGGTTGTGTCTGGCTGGGTGTCATGTTGTTGCACAGACACAGGGCTATCATCTGGTATGCATTTGGGGTAGCCTGGTTAAATTCCAGGGGGGTGGGGTTGTTGTAAAGACTATGCTTTGTGCTAGAGTGCAGATTCGCTGGGTTTTTGTACCTGGGCTTACCCCTGTCTTTCAAAGCTCAATGTCTCCCTCAAATTAAGGGGGGGTTGTGTCTGGCTGGGTGTCATGTTGTTGCACAGACACAGGGCTATCATCTGGTATGCATTTGGGGTAGCCTGGTTAAATTCCAGGGGGGTGGGGTTGTTGTAAAGACTATGCTTTGTGCTAGAGGGCGGATTCGCTGAGTTTTTGTACCGGGGCTACCCCTGTCTTTCAAAGGTCAATGTCTCACTCAAATTAAGGGGGGGTTGTGTCTGGCTGGGTGCCATGTTGTTGCACAGACACGGGGCTATCGTCTGGTATGCATTTGGGGTAGCCTGGTTAAATTCCAGGGGAGTGGGGTTGTTGTAAAGTTTGATGTGTTTTTGCACTCTTATGCAGTTTGTTTGTGCTGTTTGCATGCAAGCAATGACCCACCCTGTTGATAATGTTCCTAGTCAGCAAGCAGTTGAACTGCTGGTTTTAGGACTTGGTATTGTTGAGCAGTGTTGGCTTAGATTGTTTTTGGGAGACCAGCTTCAATTAAAAATGGGGTGAACTGGGGAATTGGCTTTGCAATCGGTGACACCGACACTAAAAATTGCTTCTTAAAATGCCTTATTTTCCAGATTAATGAGGAAAACTTCACTTTTGTTACTTTCAAGACAGATGATTCTATCAAATGGAAGCTCATGTATTCAATAATTTCTTTTTGAGGTGAGATTTTACTTTTCAAGTAACAAGGGCCATCAAATTAACAATCAGTGCGAGAGACTGACATTTTTTAGTAGCCCGGTTTTCAAAAAACCAGGTATATTTATTTATTTATTATAGACTTTTCTTTTCCTCTTGTGCCCGCCTCGAACAGCCCTTGCTAATTGCGGGCACATGCTTTGTAAGCTATACTTAACTTCAAATAAACTTGTTGTTGTTGTTCTAAAGAAATGATTGGCCCGAATTTAGAGAGCTTTGTATGGAGCTACCATGTTGGTGCCCATCCAGATGGGCACCGACATGAAAACCAACAGAAACATCTGTCACTAAGTTTTTGCCACGAAAGCGTGAATTCATCTCTCGAGGAAATAATAAAAATTAAAGTACTTTTTCTTCTAGAAATAAGTTGATAGCACCGCCTGACAGGGCTGTAAGGGGCCCGCAGTAAGGACTTGAGAGACTGTACTCGCAAAAGTAGCATAATATGCTACTAGCCGTGCTCGTATATTTTTAAAATTATGCCAACAACTATGCTAGTGTTTGTAAATTATACCCATTCTGGCAAAAAATTTCAGAAATTATGCTTCTACTGTTTACTTTAAGTTTGGTGAAAAAAAAAACACGTGGTAAGTTACTATGCAACAGACAAACAAATTGCAAATACATTTACCCTATTTACAACTAGAAACTTTAGTGGTGCATAATTCATTATAAATTACGTAGACTGCTGCGCCATTCGTCGCCAAATGTATTAGCTAGATAGGCCAAACAATATATTTAAGGCATTTACCCGTGAAACTCTGTCGGTAGACGCTGTTTGCAGATGGTGAAGCTGCATGTATAAAGACATATTTGGAGAAAATTAGCAGGGCTTTGACGGAAATAGCCGTACTTTAACTCATTTCATCGCATTTGAAGAATATATATATATATATGGCCGACAAAGCCGATAAGTGTCTTGCAAACCGTCGCAAAGTCTCTTGTTGACGGCGCTGTACAGTTTGCAATTCCCTGCACAGTTTGCATGAGGAGAATTGGCCGCGCTTCACACCAAGGTAAGACTTTTTTACAGAGGATGAATAAACATATTAGTCTTTCATACATGTAAATAAAACATTGCCTGGAAACCGATAAATTTCCACAAATGCACCTAGACGTCAACTGGAGCTCAGTCACGACATCACTGCAAGGCAAATTGGACTCACCGGTAAGTCTTAGTAGGTTTCGTGAAGCCGTTTTAAGCAGTTCTAAAATCAAGATCGGACTTGATCTGCCTGTATCGAACACAGTAAAACACACACAAAAAATAAAGAGCTATTCCCAGGCTTTTAACTTCCGAAAGAAGGCTGAAAAAAAGCCTGGGGAATTATGCTAAAATGGCGGTCAAATTCGATGTAAACAGGAAACGATGTGGTAAGAAAAACGGTTCGCGTTTGGCGAGTGTTTTACTGGAGCGTCTTTGAAAGGTATTCGATCAGTCAAGGATGATTAATTTTCGGTGAATTTGGGTGTTTTTGAAAGAAAAAACCGCAAAGGATTAATTCATAAAGAGCAAGAAATTATGCAGAGTCGGTGAAAGTACTAAATTAGCCTTTCCCGTTACTTTCGGGGTTCCACAAGGAAGCATCTTGGGACCGTTATTGTTCCTTGTGTATGTCAACGAGCTACCTGCTGCTATTGAACACTCCGAGGTATCATTGTACGCTAGCGACACTGTTCTTTACTGATTTGCAAAAGAACCTCGCGAGCTGGAGAACAAGTTTAATGCAGATCTCTACAACATAGCAATGTCGGTGGCTAAAAGCGAACAAACTTACTTTGAACCTTTCAAAGACCAAATGCATTTTAATCGGAAGCAATAGAAAATTAGTTAATACTTCCTCCTTGTCTCTATCTATGTTTGATTGTGAGTTAGATAGCGTAACTAGGTTTAAATATTTACGGGTTATGTTAGCCTCAGACTTCACATGGTCAAATCATGTAGAGTATGTTGTAATTTCCAAAAGTTAATCAACGGATCTGTCTTTTACGTAGGATCAAGCATTTGTTACCCTTTACCGCTCGCCAAATTTTCTTTAACAGTCTTGTTTTACCAGGTTTTGATTATGCTGATTTAGTGTGGGGTGATAAGGACATTGTGACTCTTATGGATGACCTGCAGGTTTTAGTGGTGATGAATGGCCATTCAAATTTTTAACTGCTCGCAAAATTTTACCTTGGCTCGATTTGCGCGCAAAATTTAAACGAGTGCACGCTTGCTCGTGCTCCCAAAATTTTGGCGGTTGCTCGCATGTTCGCTTTCTTGTCAGTATTGCTCAAGATTTTTTGAATCCTTCTTTGGATTAAAGTAAATGTAATTCTGTATGGTGCTTAATTCCTGTAAATATGGCTATCAAGTTCAATGGAAATGCACGTGATAAACGACAACGATAAATAATAAATTAGCTAATCTAGCTATACATGGTTAAAAAGAGAAAAAATTGTTACCTTGAGTTCTTCTGAGTTTCTCTACCGTTCTATTCACTAATTAGGTCATGTTTTCAATAAAAACGGTTTGGAAGCTTTAGGATTCTTCTAGAAGAGGTTGTTCTGACACGAAGATCTTGTTCCTCTTCAACTTCTTCTTCATCCACATCAGTCATGTCCCTTTCTTCAACCCCCCTTGTACGCTCGAGACATTCTTCGTAGAGCTCTTGGTTTAAATCGATATGAAAATCTTCGTCTGTGAACTGCACTTCCCAAACTGTTCCAATTACAAGATGTTTCTCTACCTGAGCGGTGAACTCGTAATTGAAATTATTTAGACAATCTTCGGGATCGCTTGCTTACAGGTGTGTTTTTACTTTAGACGAAGTTCTCTTAAGGTTTTATGCAAGCTTTCCTAAAATAAAGGGTCCACTGATCTCTTTGAACTTAGCGATGAGTATCACATCGTCTTTTTAAAACATTTTCTGTTTTATTTTAAAGAAAAGGATTTCCATATGGATTGCTGAAAGCGGAAAATATAAGAAGTGCTCGCTGCTCGCGAGTTGTACCTCTAAACAGCTCGCTGCTCGCAAAACAAATTTTTTATCTCTGCTCCTGCTCGCATGCTCGCGAATGCTCGCAAAGACCATTCGTCACCCCTGCTTCTGCAGAACAAGGCCGCGAAAATTATCCTGAACAGGTCACTTTATTCGTCAGCTACAGATGCCCTCGTAACTTTAACGGAAGTGACTCAACCTTGAACAACGTAGATTTTATCATCGCTGTATATATGTTTACAAGTGTATTAATGGCCTGGCTTATGGATCAGTCAATGGAGCTACAAGCAAAGAGGTGACGTTCATGATTGTAACACAAGAAATAGAGACATGCTTAGACTATCCCTTTCAACCAAAAATTGGGGAAACAGAGTGTGTTATCACTATCTGAAAGATTGGAATAATCTAGACAAAGAAATTAGAAATGCACCTGACACTGTGAATTTTATGCGTAGCATTTTTAGCAGCTTTTTTATTTAATGCTTTTTTGTATTTCAATTGCCGCTTTTTATCAAATCTTAATTTAGTTTATATATATAATTGCAATTCTAGGTATCTTTCGTTTTACTGTATATAGTCTAATTTAACACAGTAAAAATTACGGATAAAAAACGACGTTTCGACCGATCTTCGGTCATTTTCAAGTAAGTAGAAAAGTTAAAAGAATTAGCATATATATATGTGTAAGGTGTAGAAATATGTTAAGAACTATAAAAAATATTTGAAAATGATAAAAGAATGAAATAAAGCATGCAGAAAAAATACAATAGAATCTAGTTAAAAGAGCTATATAAAAACTTTTGCACGAAGTGAGTCTGATTGTACATTGAGCCTAGGTCTCAGTTCATTAATAAAAAACATTTCAAACACCAGGCAGTCAAATTTGCTTTTACACTTCTTTAAAATGCTAAAATTATTACTAAGATCTTTAGGTGCTAAAGAATGTTTAAGACGAAAGTGCTGGCCGATGGATGAACTTGCGATTTTGCAGTGTTCCTGAATTCGCTGGTGTAAGTGGCGAGATGTTTAACCAACATAACCTGCATCGCACAGGTCACATTCAAATTTGTAAACATGACACATTGCTGGTTGACAAGAGGTAGCTTAGCTTCTCGCATTTTAAGATCGCGTTCAATCTTTTGGCTGACAAACACTGGAGACACGGTCGTGTGAAGTTTGTGACTGAAATCCTGAAGTTGACGTCGAACAATGTTAGTTCAGGACTGGTCTTTAAATGGTAAAATACCACGAACAGGGTCAAATGAATCAGAAACAGCCGAGGTGATGAAACAGGTTGATCAGAAACTTTTATGGCAATAAAGCGTAAGATAGTAGAGTTGATGAGTTTGTCAGGGTACTTTAGCCGGAAAAAAAGTAATTTAAGACGATCGCATTCTTCGGAGAATTACGACCAGTTGGACGAAAGTCGGAAAGCACGATCAAGCAACAAGAGGCCAGTGTTAGTGGGCTTGACATAGACTTTGGTCTCCACATGTGAAGATCTGTTGAGGAGCTGGAAGCCCAGGAAGGAAAGCATCGGGTGAAACGTCGTTTTTTATCCGTAATTTTTACTGTGTTAAGTTTTAGAAAAACCCTTACTTATAATAGTCAAATTTAGTACTTTAAATCTAAGTTAGAACCTTTCTGAAAACCACAGTGATGTGATGAAAGTTTCCTAATAAAAGATTATTATTAAATTTGGTCTTCGGTTTGCGAGCGAGGACCATAGATGGAAACAGGGGGCCTGCAGAAAAGATCAGTGGTTTGCACGAACTGAAAAGGTCCTTATGGCAGATTCTTGTACTTCTATTTAAGATCTTTCAGCGTGAAAACAGCATAGATTACAATTCGCTTAGCTCCAAGACCCTTTCCAATTTAAACCTTTTTCACAACTAACAAACTTACCGAGGACCGTGAAATTCAACCACCATATTTTTCTCAGCGATCGATTGAACAATAATTTCCATACATTTTCCTATTAGTAAACTGAGAGCGTGTGACTTCATGATCAGTGATGCGTCGCGGGGGACAGGGTTCCGAATCGACGGTCATGCTATATTAAACGTGGATCAGTCATACTTTGGCAAACGTAACCGGATTTAGGTATAGATATAGGTATAGGTAAATCATTAATATTCACATACCTTCATGCATACTAATTCGGTATAGGTTTACTAATGAGCGCCTCCCTTATTTAATAGAGATAATAGGCTTGCCTAGGCTTGCCCAGTAAGTAACTTTAGTCCGGTTTGCCTGAACGTCTATTTAAAAAACAGGAATAAGAGGAGCGATCACCTGGCAACGCGAGAAATGGCTCCACTTTCTGTGTGTGTGTGTGTTTTGTTTATGTATCCGATTTTTAGCGCTAAATAGAAGACATAAGCCGTTTCTCGCGTTACCAGGTGATCGCTCCTCTTATTCGTATTATTCATATAGACGTTCCGGCAAACCGGACTAAAGTTACTTACCGTGCAAGCCTAGGCAAGCCTATTGTTTCTATTGAATAAGGAAGACCGCGCTCATTAGTAAACCTATACCGAATTAGTATGCAGGAAGTTATGTCAATATTAATGATATACCTATTCCTATACCTGTACCTAAGTCCGGTAGTTTGTATCCAAGAAGTTTGCTGAAGCATAACTACTTGGATCCTCACCTTATATGGAACATTTTCACAGTTTTAACAAAACAGTTTGAGTTCCCAGGAAGTTTCTAAAATGTACAGCAAAAGATTTCGTTAGAAGAGATCAAACTCCTGACATCTTGACTAAGCAATATGATATAAGCCCAAATGATTGTAACAACTACAACGTTTGATGATCTCTTGTTTGTTTAGCAAAACTTTCTTGTTTGTGGATTGAGTCTTTCAATCCTTCAAAGTGATTTGTTTCTGACAAATCTTTATAACGTCCAGTCATGAACTTGTAGCTGATGCGACGAGTAACGCGAGACTGACAAGTTCTTCAAGTTATGCGCTTACCATGCATCTCTCGACCCTACTTTCGGATAAACACCAACCCTATGCTTTCGTGGTCAAATAATAGTGCTTTTTCAAAAAAGTACACCGAGACGATGCGATGAAAAGTTCAGTTTTTCTTACCTTGAAGTCAGCTGCTCCTCAGAATGACAATGCAAAATAGCAAACCAAGCGCTTCTTTTCATAATACTCTGCACCCCCCCACCCCCCCCCCCCCCCCAAATAGGAATTTTTGATTAACGCTATATACCCCCGCTTATTGTGATGTCATAATACACAAACTCCCTCTGGGAATTTTTTGTTTTACGTCATCCTAACCATATATTACTTGCGGGCGCAAACAATAGAAACGTCATCATTACCCAACGATCCCATGCGGCCCATATTAAAGCAAATGCATTACTGTATACACCTAATTGCAAAAACGTTGTCATAGAAAAATGCAAAAAGCAAAAAGACAAATAGGAATAAATTAGCCATGTGATTTACATTTGCGTATTTTAATTCAGTATTTAACAGTTATTTAGGAATTCATTCACAATAACAAGAGATAATTCTGTAATTCCGCGCTGTGAGATAGACAGGCGCCATAGTCATTTTAGAGCCAACGTTCTCCATCATCAGACGTCGCACAATGCGAAAAAGGAAAAGGTAAATTGACGCGAGCAATATTAAGTCTCAGTTGTCGCACTTTCAGTCGCCAATCTATTATGTCCTGACAAACGAAGCTTGGTTTGTGGCTCAGGTGAGGAACTGGCGGAGGACCCCCTTACCCTCTCCGCGATGAAAAGTCCTGCCTACGCTCCTAATTTGTTGCTTGAAAATTGTGATCAGATGGTGTTGTGCACTGCAAACCATATGCAGACTGGCTTTTCTATTTAGCACTAATCTAAAACACGCGTTGAGTTCCTGGAATTTACCGCAGGCTATAGTTATTGAAAAAAATGGAGCCATTATTTCTTTGGTAGTTATCCGATGTGCTTTGTAATTCGAGCACGTTTGAAATCCGCTAGATAAATCAGCCTTGAATTGCATTAGAATGACACTAAGAAACTGATGCAAATGATTTCTCTCATATTACGTGATTAATATTCAGCTACAAGCGTGTGTGTTGTGAATGTTGCAAGCTATGATAATTGCATGCTAATTAATTCCTATTTAACTTTTTGCTTTTTGCTTTTTTCTTTTTTCTATGACAACCTTATTGCAATTAGGTGTATTTCAACTGTAAGCACTTTCCTTACCCTTACCAAATCCAACACTGTTTTGAATGTATTTTTAAGCTATTTTAGAAAACTGTTTTTGACCTGTTTTGTAAAATAGGTTTTAAATAGGGTGAAAAGTGTATTTTTAATGTACTTTTTTACTGCTTTTAAAGGTGTTTTAACCTGTTTTAAACGTTATTAAAAAATAATTTTTAAAGTATTTTAACATTCGTTTAAAATGTATAAAAAATTCCAGGGCTTTTGCAAAGCTTAAGACAGGTTTAAAACAGCTTTTAAATACCTTATAAATCGGAATAAAAACAGATAAAAAATAGTTTAAACGTATTTTGAAAAAAAAAAAAAGGTTTAAAATAAGTACACAAATATATTTTTAATATATTTTAAGACTGATTTTAAAGCGATTTTAACCTATTTAAAACGCTATTTAAATGTTATGTTTCAAAATATATTTTAATAACGGTTTAATCGGGCCGGTTTTGAAATTTTGCAAGGGTTTTTTAAATATCGTATTTGCAAATACAATAAAATACTTTGAAAATAGTAAATAAAAATCGAAAATAGTGAAAAAAACAGCGCCCAGTCTCAGGAGAGAAACGAGTATTTTTCGAAAGAGCGCCAAGGAACTTATTGAGTTTCGACTTAAAAGAAGAAGGGTTATTCGGGGGCGCCGGTGTTGTGTTTTGCGAAAGAGCGCCGAGGGGCTTATTTTCATTCACTTAAATTGTGGGCGGTGCTCTTTCGAGTATATACGGTTTGGATAGCATTTTCCGGTTTTATTACATTTGTGGTCGATTTGTATTACATTTGAAGTTCAACACGGATTCACTAGTTTCGTTTGGACGGAAGGCTGATTCGTGTGGACATGGCCTTCACTATATAAAGCCTCAATACTGATATGTCTCCAAATTTTTTAGAAGAAGCGGATCGTGAGCACGCGGGTGATAGTTTTTGGTTGTTTTACGGGTGATAGTTTTTGAACGGTCGTAAATTCGCCTTCATGTATATTGACGGATTGGTTTTGTAGGGGGTCTTAGTTTTCGTAATTTCGAAAACATAAACTAAGACCCCTAAATTTACCGTCAAATTTGACCTAAAACTCGGTGGAACGAATCGGACAGAAGATAATTTGAGAGATTAGACCTATTTCGGTTACAATTTGACCTCATATCTCGACGGATTCGATTTTAGGGGGTCTTAGTTTCGTAATC